AGATCACTGTCCCTATTATATTTACTTTGCATGCAGCCATCAGTAAATATGAACAGACACGGCTGATCTATCGCGTCTAATCTGATCTAAGATGGAAACGCATTGAATGGACAAATGGCTGCCTTAGTATTGTATTGGCTGACCACGAAAGGCTGCCGACACATGGATCAATTACTCTTTGATGAACTACCTGAGTTTTGCAAATATGATCATGTTACACCTGACAATTCTTGCGGTAATTCGTCATTACGAGTACAGCCAGTAACTGCTTTTACGAAATGTTACCGCAAAATTTATGAAATGTGTTTTAAATCAGGAAACACTAATCGAGTGGGGTTGTACTATCTATTGTCTGTGAGAATTATTCCAAAACATTTCAAATATGCAAGAATACCAGCTTTTTAATATCCATCTCCTCAGCTATCTGCTAAAAGGCATTCGGTGAAAATATGACTACTTATTTATTAGGTATTTAGTTGATTGATTTTCGATGCCCGTATAAATTCAAATATATTTTACAGATACTGTAAGTAAAAATGCTATTTTTTACTCGGTCGATAGCAAATCACTTCTTCCTTAAATCTATAATCACTCGAAGTGTATACTTAGGTCATAAAACACTTTTTTCACTTCCCGAATCAATTTAGGCCCGATCTGTAAATGCATTTGCCTTTAGGGTTTTCAAACTAAAAACTGTAGGCTTTCATATAATGATTATCATACCTGCCTCCATGCCAGAAGAAGGTATCGAATAGTGTTCCTAAAATGTTTTAGTAGATTTATATGTTATGAGGAGTATTAATAAACGTGTCAATGGAAGCTTTCTGATGGACATTGTAGGACCTTAAAGAATTATATAGCAATAAAATTTTAAAAACCTAAATATACCATTTCTTTCAGTAAATAATTTAGAAAAAGACACAAACAACTATCAAATAATTACCAAAAATATACCTCTTGCCCACGTTTTATATGCAACATAGTTTCATTCTTAAGGACAGAAAAAAGGAGACATACAGCATACTACTTAATTAGTCCATTCTTTATCGCGTGCTATATTAACCAAAAATATGCCCGTCCAAAAGTCCGCATCAAGGAGCCTCGAATTAATCATGTTAATCAATATTAAAAGTTCACTTTAGTCATCCTCCCTAATCGAGAACGTATTTTGGTGAAATTTTTATGAAATTAGTCACAGGCTATTTGGTCTCTGGGCAAGCTATTAAAATTCCATATCATACTATAAGACTGCGTGTAAATGCACAACTAAAATCATAGGCCAGTTAGACTACTGATTGTACTATGGACAGAGTTAAAATGTGCCTCGGGGCCTGGTTTCGTCACACTTCTCGTTCCCACGCCGCCTGCAAGGATGAGTCAGCATTTTAGGAGCATCCGTATTGAGAAGAAGTGGAGAAGGAGAAGGAGCTTAGATTTGATAGCTGTAAAAATGGCATCTTATGAAATGTTAATCCGAATCCTGAAATATATATATATATTCATGCAGGGTATCTTTTTATCTAAAAATACTTTCTAAGTGCCTGAAAAGTGTTTTACCCAACTTTCTTTTGCAGCTGCAGTACGCGTTTAGGTGCAAGGAAACTCTTACATTTATATACACGATTAATAAAAGGCAATCTAGAACTTAGGAAATCCTGTGGTGAATCATTACCCCTTAGTATTATTGATAGACATAATTTATACATGGAAAGATATAATGTTTTATTGTAGGGCGTTTTATGGTCTTATAAAGCTCAAAGTTAGAAATTTTAAAAACTACCCAAGGCACTGTTTGAAGGAGATGTAATGTGGTCACAAATTCATAAAAGAAAACAGATATCTGCGTATTTGTTTTATAGATATATTTTTATTTATTAGGGCATCAAAAATCAATGAAAAGCAAACTCATTCCACCTAAGGGGTCATTTTTACATAGCAGAGTTTGTGGCGGGGATTTGAAAGGCGCTTGGTCATAAGCTGGTATAATGAAGTGAGTTTAACATGTTTGGATTATGCTATACGGTAAGTAATTTTAAAACTCCATTTTTAAAAAACAAAATTTTGTTTTATAATTTCGATTAAGCTTTATTTAGATAGCAGATCTGCTATACGCATATGTTTTTCGCTAGAACAGCTTGGCCGGCTTCCACCTGGCAAGTGGCTGTATGCTCGTGACTCCCATCCCAATATTCTACAC